CACGCCACGCGCTCTAACTTTCTATGTCAGCATTATACTTTCATATGAGCAATTGGGTGCTGTGTTTCTTGTCTTTTTCACGCGGGTGTCTACCAATTTTGAACGCCCTACTAGACATTCTAGACAGGCTTGTCTGCACGGCAGAGAGAGAGAGAGAGAGAGAGAGAGAGAGAGAGAGAGAGAGAGAGAGAGAGAGAGAATGAGTACCGCGAAATTATTAAACGAGCCGTGGCCTATGAGCCTATTTAATTTCGTAGCTAATGTCCGTGCAGTATCCATGGCGTGAAGCTTAATCACGAGACGTTCCTATCTGAGTCTTCGGAAAATCGCAAATCATTGTACAATGACACGAGTCTGAGACTACGTTCGACGTACGCGGATTTTACTTATAGGTGAAATCTCTTGTTTCATAAGTGTGCCGCGTCTCCTCGGCATTTGTGACGATCCCTGTATACTACTGTATTTTTTAAGTCGACGATTATCTATCGCGACACAACACGACGGTCCAAAGTTATGCACTACTTTAGAGAGAAACCCGACCAGTCTTGGGCAACGGTTTTCGTAATCGTCTACCAATTGCCGCAACCACTTTACGCAAAAGTGGATAAGGAGTTTGCCGAACTCCGAAGCGCATTATACCGAAGCCGGGAAAAATAATCTGTTAGCTCGGATCAGAAACCACGTTAACGTTAACGCTTTACATGAAATTACGTTTTACAGATATGTATGAAATAATCCAATTTTCACATGTTGATCTAATTTAACTCCACAAAAATTAATTAAACCGAACTGAAATTTATGTAGGATTAAGCGATAGAATTCAACGTGCGAGGGTGGAGAAGGGATTATAAAAAAATGCTGGCTTCAGTTTGGACTCGAGAGTAGGACTTAGCGACGCGCTGAATTGTCCGGCGTTATGTTACTTTCCCCCAGGATCGTTAACATCGCGGGGACCTGCGCCCCGCAGGTAGCATACTTATGCTATCGCGAAATCCGAGATACAATGCCGGCCGATCGAGTTACAACGGCAGCACGTTTATGGTTAACGTGAAGCCTTCTTATGCTCGCATGACGCTCGTGACAAACTGCGTAAAACACAACAAGTCTATTAACGCCTAAATACAACGCACTATTTTAACGTACCACTTATGTTTCGGGTAAATAGCCCGAAAAATTTTACTTGATGGAAACTGATACAATGCTAACAATGAAATACAATTCCGACGTCCCAAAAAAGATTAAGTTGTTTGGTCTAATATTTAAAAAGCTATACAGAATTTGAAACGGGTAGAAATATAAATGAGGGTCATTGTATGTAAAATGAAAAGTAAACACGATAAAAGGAAACTATGAAAGATTACTTCTATCGAGCCTTTTAATCTCTCGCGCCTTGACATCAATATTTAATTGAAGCGATAATTCATTCCCACTATTTTGTTCTCCAAAATTGGATACTAATTATAGTGACAAGAATATCAGTTTATCGACTGTCGCATCTTTTGTTCAAATTAATGCTATTTGAAACGTTATCACTGTTGATACAAGAATTAATCCGGCATTACGATATGCGAATGTAATTATCGCGATGCGAAATCGATTGAAACCCCGGATGCCGGGAACTGAAAGCGACACTCGCTCGAAACAATCGAGTCGTTCGCTGACGTGCCAAATAAGCCATTCGTCGTTACGTAATACGTTTCTTGAAGCGATGAGAATGAGCGCGCATCGCGTCGTTGCACTTCTCTCGTTCGCTGGGCCGCGGATTTCGAAACAGAAAAATTTCACAGTGACTCATTGATTCAAGCTAATCACACGGCACGGCCGTGATTGATCGATTACGCTTTTTTCAGCTCTCTTCGTTTCCCCAAACAAAAAACGTTAACTGGTTCCGTTCCAGCAGCGTTGTACAAATACCGAGCCATTTTCTTGTTCCGCTATTTTTTAATCGTCGCTACTGACATTGTGTAACGTATCAAGAAATTGGAATAAATATATTGTTTTATTTGCCGAATATAATTGACTATATGAAAGAAAGACATCATCCTGATTTTTCCCTCTGTTCGTATCTTTTTTATTTAAAAACGTATGCTAATTTATTTTCACTGCTCATTGTACATAATCGTGACTTATCGAAGTTATAATTGATAAAAGCGAATAGAGGTAACATACAACAACACCGAATGGTTTTAACGACTGTCGAACGTATAGAAAGTTTGGAAAACGGATGGATCGATCACGTTTGTCCAATTCCCACGGCAGCGCGATTTATGAGAAGTATACACACAGGTAGATTCTACGTAGTCGAACCGAGCGAAATAATAAAACAACAAAAAATTATTTTTTAATGCGCGAAATTACGACCTTTGTACGCCTCGTAAAACGTCGAATTGTATTCACTCTCTAACTCTACTCCATCGAGTATAGAAAGCGGATAAATATGTATGTCAATTCCGTTCACAAAACTGCTGATTCCAACCAATCGTCAGTATAAAAGCAATAAGATACGAGCACGGTACAAAAGCAATAAAATTCTCTAAAAAAATTCATCGATAAACCGTATCCTAGATATTTTTTTTTTCAATTCCCATCATAGGTTTAACAATGCACGATGCTTTTACCGGTGATGAGGGACGCGTATCCTTAGTCGTTTATGTAAGCGTACAGGGATCTAAGTACATGGCCGTGAACGGACGAAAGGTAATCGCATGACGGCTCACGCCGACATTTTCAAGGAGACAGCTTACCGATTAACCAGTCGCATCTGCGACGCCTGTAATCTTTTAAATCTGCGGAAAGCGATCTCTTATCGTCACGCCACGTGTACGATTTTCCCGATCCCAAGAAAAAATGGAGCACACAATATGGAGTCCGTATCACCGGATGTATTCGCGGAAAGGGCGAAAGCGCGAAACAAGATTTATTATGAAAAAATGTAATTCCGCGTTCCGGTTGTACTTGTTCTTGCAATTATCTCCGTTTGTATACATTAAAGCATCTAAATACCTCGTATGAAATAAAGATCATCATTTTGTTATCAATTTATGTTTATTAATCTTGCATTATAAACAGAATATTCGTAGTATCAATTTAAAAAATATATGTTAAACACTAATTCCTTTTATCACTTAAACAGCGCAATATACATTTTGATTTTTATATTCCGCATATTTTTATGCAACACATGCAGTACTTATATTTTCTGTACGCTTAACGAATGAATTATTTATATGAAACGAGCTTTTCCACAATTTGTCGCGGTTGAGAACAATGACGAGAAAGAGAAGAAGATCTTACATGGAGCATTGGAGATAAAAAGTCTCGCGCAGTCGTTACGCAAACCGCGAAACAATTAAGTGCAAATAGCGGCAATGGGCTTTCTAAATTCAAGTGTGAATTAGTCCGAGCATGCATGTAAGCGCATATGTAACAGCGAGTAAAGCACAGTGGACAGTCGTGTCGCATGTGCCTTTACGATGCGAGAATCATGTTCTAAGCAAGGAGACGGCGGCGCGGCGTTTGGGTTACGCAACTCGTGCAAGGCAATGAAATTCGATCACCTTCGTCGCGTAATATCGCCACGACATGGAAAAAACGAGGTGCGGAGGAAAGGAGAGAGAGTACATTAAAGGAGACAAACGAGGGCGATGCGGCGCGATTCAAGCGACGACGAGAAGCTGGAAACCGTAGCTTGGCGGGCGAGGTCAAGTGAAGAGACAATCGCTAGTGACGCGCGACCTAGGAGGATTATTCGATCGAGGCCGATGAAATATCTCGAGGAAAGAACCTGATTCATACGACTCTGAACGGTTCCGCAGATAGACACGAATCGTCGGGGAAGAATGGATCGCGTTTTATTATTGAATTCGTGGTTTTCAACTCTACAATAAGTGTTAGAAACGATATCTTATCATCATTCCCACAGGAATTCAGAGGTGTACGTGATGACTTGCACGAAATTAGATTGTCACATATCTATACAGGAAAAATGAAAATAACATTTTTTTAAAACACTTATTAGATAGGTTTATTTTTCAAAATTTTATTTATCATGTCCAATATACTCTAAATAAAATATTACGCAGCATATATATATCCTGGGAATTTTTTAATGCTTCATTTCAACGTTTTAATTAATTCCACCTTTTTTGCTGCACTTTGCTGCCCTTTGATGATGAAAGCGTGAAAATGATTTTGCAGGAACATTACTTAGTAACAACGCCTGACGAGAAGCAACGCTGAGTCTTGCCTCGGATTAAATGATGTCGAAACTGACGTTATTAATAAGATGAGATCGATCGAAAGTTGTCGAACTTCTGGCCGAGGCTTGTTCCAGTTTTTGACGTCGCACGGTCGAAGTCAAGGCGAGTTACTCGATATCGTGCATGGTAACGAAGGCGAGGGTAATTATTTTTGAACGCGTATCACCTTGTGCCACCGAATATTGTTGTTATATGGTACATGCCCCAATGGATTTAGGACTTTTACGATGAAACTGTGTCACGATGAACATCGATTTAATACCACTCGAAAGTTTTGCATTTGCTTTCACCGATTTGTATTCGAATAAATATGTAAGTAACCGTGCAGTTGGTTCTTGTGGTGAAGCAAGAAACGCGACTAATGATCTTAGATGTGATAGGCAAGTATTTACTGAATGCGACCGTACCATGCAATTATTCAATAGAATTGCCTAATGCAAACGACAAATACTTTCAGGCGTTTGAGTTACAAATCGAAGAATACACTTTATTTACAATACGTATAACTTTTTGCGGAGATTGTATAACTAGGGCAACTGTAAATACTGATGGTTACATACTAAATACTTTGTATAACTTACTTCAAGTCTGCTCTAACAAGAGGTACAACAAGCGACTGATTGTAACTCGGTACTTACAGCTATAACCGATTTCTACTCTTTACATCAAACGAAACAGCATTGCATCAATCACGAGATAAACCAATCTGCGACTGTTCTTAATGCGATCTATTCCACTTACCTCTTGAGGTACGACATTGTTCTTAATCTTAAGGGTGGTGTTGGATGTGTTATTGATGGAGGAGAGCGTGGTGATGGTCGCACCGCCGACCGCCTTTCCGCTGACCTTGGTACCAGCACCACCGACATCTTTGTGCAACGTTCCAGGACTCTGAAATGAAATATCGACCTGTTAGAACAATGCGGAGTTCAACTTCCTTTTTTCATTCATTATGATAATATGGATGCAGCTTGCTGCCATTGAATCCTCGAATGAAACACAAAATCGAGACAAGATAAATGAATCCTCGGTTCAAGAAGAATACAAATGATTGTGGTTTAGCCGAGTTTTTTTTATTGTAAAATAATTTCGAAATGAAGTGTACATGTTCATCATCAAAATTATTTGTAGTGAAAGAATCATTAACTAAATCAGAGTTTCATGATAAGTTCAACTTATATCTTCAATGTATGAAACAAGAAACTGAATTATAAGTAAAATCGAGCAATTATTCAATCAGTTTCTGTTCACTCAGTTTCAGTACAAAGCATCTTATTATTAATTATCCTTCGTCAAAATATTAAAACGACTCGTACCGCATTTGTTTCATGTCTTTTTTTTTAAAAAAAAAAAAAGAAAAATCATTCGTTAAACGAGTTCCCGTCGCGCGATTCATCCGCTAAATGAAAACTCCCCCTGACATTTAAATTAATCCGAACGCGTTCGGTCCGCGCCAATTAACGTGCACATATTTCAGTAAACGTCGTACCGCGCTTTAAGCCCGGTCGCGGGCTTATTTCTGTTAATTAAGGGAGCCGCCGCAGTCACCTCTAATGTATAGCACGCCGTCTCATCTGCGTCTTGTCGCGGTCCGCCCCACTGAACGAGCGACTTAGTAGTAATAGTAGACAAAGAGCTGACGTGGGTGGTTTCGGATGTGACTCGCGTGTACTTTTATACAGTATCACTCCGTTCGGTAACGCACACGTGTGCGGATGCACGCTGCAAACGCTTATGCGAACGTGCTTGTATTGTATTTTCTACGCAATGTTGAAACGTTACGCCGTTGATAAAAATATGATAATCAAGCATAAAATACAAGTAGGCGAGACCAGGCGAACTACTCACATCCTCAAGGTTGCTGACAGCATTTAATTATTTATTCATAGAAGAGACCACGGATTTCGTGCATTTATCAAAAAATTCAACGCGTTAAACGTTGGATGTGGTGATAAATGTTTAAGTATCAAAAACAGGAACATATTGTAGTGTATAAATGATAAGAAAGACGTTTATCTGAAATCAATATTTCATTTTGACTACAATACATTTTTTATTCCGCACGATAATCCTCTGTCTACTAATGAGACATTTATAGAAATAAAGTGTCTATGATTGCACAGTTTAATACGTTTATTCTGTAATGCGTTAACATCTAACTTGATGAATAAACGTCAATTCAATGCAAATAAGAAGAATCATTTATTTATATGCGGTGGTGAAAACAGCGCAGTTAAAGATCGCTGGAAAATTACAGAGTTCACTACCTAATCACTATAGAGCATATAATCGGATAATTAACATAAATAAAAAATCGTCTTAATAAATCTTTAATGCTCAACAAGCATAGTAAATTCAATGCGTACGACAAAATATTTCCTAACGACGTTTTGTTCCAACAGCAGAAAACATCGCAATTGTCGAACGTATATATTTTTTTACGGCTCCCGTGATACATTAGTAGACATTTAGTGGTAATAATTCTTGCATCATGCTTTTCAGACCGCGAAAGGTTAAAGACCTCGTGCGTTAATATCCGACAATGAATCGCAATAAACTTTCTTCCCGCGGAAATGGTGGTATTGGATGCAATATCATAAATTAAATACGAGAAGTCTGAGATCTTTACGTCATTATTACTTTGTTTTTAGAATTACCGAACGAAATTTACATATTATTATATTATGGTTAGAAT